TTATTTATTTATTTATTTTTTGTAATTGTTTTTGTTTTTTTTTTATTTTTTTTTAAAACAAAAATTAAAATTTTGAAAAGAAGTGAAGTTTTTGTTCCAAGTTTGGGAAAAAACAGGTCTTTTATATTTAAAAGAAATTTTGAAAATATATGTAAGCATATAAGTATATATATGTATAAACAATATTTCTTGCATAAAATCGTATCACCAAAATAACGTAGTTACTAATAAATTTTTTTCAAAACAATGGACATTAGAATTAATATATTTATTATTATATATACTATATACTATATCATATTTATTATATATCAATATGAGCTTTCAGAGATTTCTTTTTAAGTCAATTTAAAAACATTTCTTATTTTATCAAGAGAAATTTTATTTTTGAATTTTTGAGAAATAAAATCAAATTTTTTTTAAAAAACATTTAAAAAAAAAAAACGAACTTTTAGTAAAATTAAGCAAAACCCAAAATTCAAGGAAAAAAATTATAAATATACACGCACTAATATAACAATAATAATAATAACAATAACAGTAATGATAATAATAGAATTGAAGGAAAAGAAGGGAAAAGTGAAAGAAAAATAGCGAGAGAGATAGAGAAATAAAGAATATATTTAATAGTAGAAAGAATTGCTTTTTCTAAGCATGCGGCAGTTTTTTTGGGAGGAAGATAGTCCTTCTTATACCACTTTAGAATCGTAAAACTTGCTGTAAAGCTGGTTTTTATCTTAGAATCACAAAGAAAGTGAACCATGTGTTAGATTAAAATAAATTGATCCAATTGATAAACTGCATATAAGTCAAGATTCAACTTAAAATTTTAATTAGTATCGTAAAAAAAAATATTTTATTTGTAAAAATTTAATAATCGTTAAATAAATATATTAATATTAATGGTAATAGCAATAGCAATAACAATAAATAATGATACTAATAATAAATAACAATAAATAAATATATTTTAGGTAAATCGTAAATTTATAAAGGTCTGTGATTGGTGTTTTGTAGTTTAGGCATTCATTACCATAAAGATTCTTAAACGACGCGTCATTACATATTATCATTTGATTTTATTAGATCTTGTTAATGATATTTTATGTACAACAACCAAATAATAAATATATTTAAAAAAAATTTTTTACGCCTTTTTTTCAGTAAAATTCATGAGAAAAAGAAGTTCTGGGCAGGTTTACAAACCGGGTGAAAAATCGTTTACTACCACCACCACCAGTACCGCCACCACAACCAGAACCAGCACAACCATCACCAGCACCACCACAATTACCATTACTACTACAAACACTAATTGTATTTTTATTTATTTATTATTTATAAATGTTTGTTAGTAACAATATATGATAATAGAAGGAATGGTAACGATGAGGATGAAACTAAGGCCAATCGCGTAGTTCATTCTAATACTATAAAAAATTTTAATTTATCCATTGATAGAAGTATAATTGAACCAGATGTAATGATGATTTTGTATGAATAACCAATAAACTTTCAAGTGAAACAAGTAAAAAAAAATAATTTGTTTTTGATATCTTAAAATAAAATAAAAATAAATAAATTACAAAAGCGTGAAAGTATTAATGCTAAATAAAGAATGTGATAATTTGAAAGTTAAGGAAACACAAAAAAAAAAAAGTTATATAAATTTTATTTATTATTGTTATTATTATTTTTATTATTATTTTTTTTATATAAATACAAATATGGCTCTTATTATGAAGATAAGAATCTTTTTCGGTACAAAAATAATAAATAATAATAATAATAATAAAAATAAAAATAATAATAATAATAGTTAATCCACGTTGCAAATGCTACTATTTACTTACATAGTGTATTGTTCAATTAAAATTAGCTGTATATTACGTAGTACCATTGTCTTTTCGTAAAGTTAAAATTAAAAATAAAGCATACATTCATTATAATAATAATAATAATAATAATAAATATTTAAAATTATTCCGAATCTTAATAAAAATTTGTTAATTAAATCAGCACGAATTAGGAAAATTTCCAATAAATATTTAGTAAAGTTTCATTCAAAAATGGTTACAAACAAAACGTAAATATTTAATTAATAATTCTATTTATAACGAATTTAACTAAAAGATTTACATGAACCACTACCACTTGTATCAAATAATATCATTGAACCCTTTTACGGACTAGCGCGGGTAACCGCCTATAACTGTTATACAAGAGTCCAAGCGATCACCCCCGAGTATATATATATATATATTTTACATAAAACTTATGATTTTTCATCGATGATGATAATAATAAATATGTAGAAAAATATTACTTACATATTTGAATTTCTAACATGATAATAAATTAATAATTCTTAATATAAATAACAAATAATAAGACTATTAATAAATAATAATTGTACGACTTTCAAAAGTGCCAATCAAATAAATAAACTCAATTCACAAGATTAATTAATTGTATTGTATTGTTGTATTTAATTCCGCTCCATTCAATTCTCCATTTTCCATTTTCCATTTTCCTCCATTTTCCTCCATTCTTTCTAACTAAAAAAACCTTTACATTGTTTCAAACAATGAGTTCGTGGCGCAGGTTAAATCCCGGTTAGAAGAAATTAATATGTGTGTGCATATGTATAAACACAATAATTATTGTTTTGTATGATCACACTGATTGTGTAATAATGAACAAATCTTTTTTCCTACTAATATTACTAATATTTGCTATTACAATATCGCTACCATTACTACCATTATTATTGCTATTGTTTTATTGTTATTATTGTTCGAGTTCTTTTTCTTTGATAATGCGTAAGGTTTATCATCAGCTAATTTTATTATTTTTTAAAATATACACACACGCATATATATATATATATATATATATATATATATACATATACATATACATATATATATATATTATAACAATAATAATAACGGACAATGGAATATGAATGTTTGCAACTCCT